GTAAAAGTACTTTTACACACTGTAAGAAATGAACTGTTGAATCTACTGAACCAAACTGGCTCCACCAAGCCTAGTTGAGTAAATTGAGCAAATAATATATATTTATTGCTCAATTTACTCAACCTGTCTTAGTGGAACCAGTTTGGTTCAGTAAATTCAACAGTTTATTTCTTAGAGTGTGTAAAAGTACTTTTACTTTCCCAATTTTTGTGAACAGTTTTATAACTTTTATTTGAGTAGTTTTCTCATCAGTGAAATTTATTTTTACTAAAGTCATTTTCTGTTCATGTAATTTTACTTTTACTTAGTTTTTTTTCAAATACTTTACAGAGCTCTGGCAGTAGGATCCATGTACTGATAGACTCTGTCTTACTGTTTTAATCTACTTATGTGAGCCCAGAAGGACAAAAASCTTCACTTTGACACCTGGATTCAAAAAGCTTCGACGTGAGGGAAAACAACCACTGAAGTACCAGTCCCAGTAGTAAAAGTACCTGTTCTTTTTGTTTCCACCACTGGAAACCCTGGATCTGAGCACCAGAAAAATTAGTGATAACTCACACCAATGTTTTGCTGGAATGGAGTAAAATTTTTATTTTATTTTTTTTTCTTTTGTCACTAGTAAGGAAAGGGCTCATGAATACAGAGAACCTAAATGTTGTGAACGTCATGTTTAGAAATACAGTTTCACTTTCACACTACTTAAATTAAGACAAAATAATTGCTCATACATGGGCTGAGTAGCTTGGTGGTCAGTGCCACYGTGWTGTAATCGTGAGGCTGCAGGTTACGACAGGAAGAATATCCAGAATAAAACAATTACTAAATCTTTCATGCATGTTTGCTTGATTTAATCAGCCCAAAGAAAAATAACAATTCTGCTTTAAAGTGAATAAGAAGTCACATTAGCAGTGGAATAAAACTTTATCACTGTCTCTAATCTTCCTGCAGTTTGTGTGTGTCTGTGTTTAAAACAGTTTTTCTATACTAAATAAGTAATATTAAGATATTAAGTCACCAGTTTGCAGGACACAAACCCTGTTATCTGTGGAAATGAGGTGCCTCTGCACTTTGATTATAAAAAACAAACAAACAAAAAACAGAGAAAGGAACAATCATTTCGTGGAAGAGACGTTTAATGTGATGTAATAAGGTGGTTATGAATTAAGGCTTTGACTGTGGAAAACTAAACAGATTAATGCAGACTAAACAGGAGTGTTACTGACCTGTAAGCTGTCCAAGATGATGCGAAGTGACTGAACTTGTCTCCTCACTGCCTTAGAAAACCGCTCATATGTAGCAGCATCATATTCACTCATGTTAATCTCCTTCAACCTAAGACAGAAAAAAANTAGACCTGAATGTCATCAGCATAAAATGGTATGACACGTTATATTTGCGAAAAATAGATCCCAGGGGGAGCAAGTACAATGAAAATAAAATMGGTCCTAATATGGAGCCTTGAGGTACTCCATACTGAAGGTGAGCAACAAATACATTCCCAGAGTTTCTACTCAAGATCATTCTCTAATAAATTCTGTTTTCTTTTCGTTCTGTGTTTGGCTGGGTTTTTGGTGCAAACCCATTACAGTTTGAGATATTTTCATCAAGCTTCCGAAACTTGTTTTGAGTATGGACAGGCACTTGCATACTAGCTTAGTAAAATTAGCCTGCACATGTGCAGGTAGTCTCACATTGAACAGCTGGAATAATTTCACCAACAAATGTCATGAGTTTTTTAGGTACATTAAAGCCCTCAAAAAGTACATTTATTCAATAGATTTCCATAGGCCTTGCATTGTCTGCAGTGCTCAGGTCTAAAAGTAAGAGGAATCCCTTCACCCACCTTCAGAATGAAAGCTGTGCACTCCTTCATACATGAGGCCCCAGATCATTTCCACACAGTTAAATTTAAACTTTTGTCAGGACCAAAACTCATAATAATAATGTGTCCTTCATCTGAAGAATGAGAAAGTTTGAATAAAGACCAGTGACTTTTTGGGGAAAGCCCCCGCTCACATGGGTTTCACCCATCCCCATTTCCCAACCATTACTCTGAGACTTTGAAATTAGTCAGTGTCTAATTTGCAGACCCAGTCCCAAATTGTTTTCTTTTTAAAGGAGTTCTAAAACAGTTTGAACATAAAACTACATTTGTAAAACAAAAGGAAATATCAGGAGGATTATTGTATTGTTGAGGAGAGCTGCAGAGTGAATTTCCTCAGGCAGATGAAAACAATCCAGGTTCTGACAGTTTGCCAACCATGCTGAGTGATAAACTGTGTTTGTATAACTGTACATGTATGAACAACTCCTTAAATCATCCCTTAGGTATGGTAACAATAGCATGACTTCAGCGGGTCTCTCCTAGCAGAACTGGGATTTTATAGTGAGGAAAACGCCCAGGGCTACAAGGACAATAACAAACAATAAGCAGCATCACTGTTCAAAGCCAGGCTGCAAATACCTGTAAGAACAAACTCACCACAACACYTATAAACAAGGCTTCACACCTGGACAGGAGAATTATAAAGCAAAGCTCAGTGCCACTGCTRTGTAATCACTACTACACACAGGCACGCACAGCAGACACACTCATCCAACAACACTCAAACAAACAGAGGAAATCATAACAATGAAACTAAGACAATGCAAGAAATCTGATTTTAGCCCCCACTCCTAATATTTCTGTCATGCTAACCAATCAGAAGGCTTCTGGGGGACAACACCCTCTTTTTCCTTAGCAAAAGCTGTATGGTCAGAGGTTAAACCAGAGATTCTTAACCTATGGGCCGTGAGCGCCACCTTGAGGGTCTCAAAAGAACAACAGTTTTTAACTTTGGGCCACAGA